AGAGCCGTCAGACCGCATCGCATGAGGGCCATGGGTATCTTCATGTGGGTCCCAATGGTAACGGTGCGTTGCTTGAGTGCATCCATGGCCGGTTTGTAAGGATGTTCATCGGGTACGCTGCCGTTGTCCTGCTCGGGGCCCTCCTGATGGCGGAATGGGTGTTGGGGAGTTGGTTCCATGATGTAGAATGGGAAGATAAGTTAGAAATGCAGGGTAGGGAATGGTGTGAGTGCTGGACACGAGGGAATGTGAGAGTGCTGGACACGAGGGAATGTGAGAGTGCGGGACAGGGGGGAATACAAGGGTGCGGAACAGGATGGAGTGTGAGAGTGCAAAACAGGAGGGAATGTGAGAGGGCGGGGACGTTGGAAAGACAGGGAGTGTGCTGGTGAGACAACCCCTTAATATGGGAAAGGGATGCCACCAGAGATGTGAATGCGAGGCCGCATGGCATGAGGGATTGTGGGACTGCAGGGTCGGGGATTGTGCGGTTGCAGGGCATGACAGCTTGAGACTATGGGGCAGGAGGGTGGGTGAGAGTGCAATGTACTTCGTGTGAGAGTACTCAATAGGGGAACGTGGGTGTGAAGGGTAAGGGGATGTGGGAGTGAAGGGTAAGGGGATGTGGGAGTGAAGGGTAAGGGGATGTGGGAGTGAAGGGTAAGGGGATGTGGGATTGGTGGGTAAGGGGATGTGGGAGTCACGAATAGGGGATGTGGGAGTGAAGGGTATGGGGATGTGGGAGTGAAGGGTAAGGGGATGTGGGAGTGAAGGGTAAGGGGATGTGGGTGTGAAGGGTAAGGGGATGTGGGAGTGAAGGGTAAGGGGACGTGGGAGTCACGAATAGGGGATGTGGGAGTGAAGGGTAAGGGAATGTGGGACTCAAGAGTAAGGGGATGTCACTGTGCAGGGTAGGGGAATGTGGGTGTGAAGGGTAAGGGGATGTGGGAGTGAAGGGTAAGGGGATGTGGGAGTGAAGGGCAAGGGGATGTGGGAGTGAAGGGTAAGGGGATGTGGGAGTGAAGGGCAAGGGGATGTGGGAGTGAAGGGTAAGGGGATGTGCGATTGAAGGGTAAGGGGATGTGGGAGTCACGAATAGGGGATGTGGGATTGAAGGGTAAGGGGATGTGGGAGTCACGAATAGGGGATGTGGAAGTGAAGGGTAAGGGGATGTGGGAGTGAAGGGTAAGGGGATGTGGGAGTGAAGGGTAAGGGGATGTGGGATTGAAGGGTAAGGGGATGTGGGAGTCACGAATAGGGGATGTGGGAGTGAAGGGTAAGGGGATGTGGAACTGAAGAGTAAGGGGATGTCACTGTGCAGGGTAGGGGAATGTGGGTGTGAAGGGTAAGGGGATGTGGGCGTGAGGGGTAAGGGGATGTGGGAGTGAAGGGCAAGGGGATGTGGGAGTGTCGGGTTAGGGGATGTGGGATTGAAGGGTAAGGGGATGCGGGAGTCACGAATAGGGGATGTGGGAGTGAAGGGTAAGGGAATGTGGGACTGAAGAGCAAGGGGATGTCACTGTGCAGGGTTGGGGAATGTGGGTGTGAATGGTAGGGGAATGTGGTAGTGGCGGGTAGGGGAATGTGGGAGTGAAGGGTGGGGGCTGTGTGTGTGAAGGGTAGGGGATGTGAGAATGAAGGGTAGGGGAATGTGAGAGTGCAAGGACGGGGAATGAGAGAGGGCAGGTTAGGGGATTGTAACAGTGCTTGGTAGGGGAATGTGAGAGGGTAGGGTAATGGAGTTCGAGAGAGGAGGGTGGGGAATGTAAAAGTGCGAGTAGTGGGTATTTGAGCATGGGAAAGAAGGAAATGTGAGATAGGGTTGGGGCGGTGTGAGTGTGCTGGCTTGGTGAGTGTGAGTTTGCGTGTTATCTGTACGTGAGATTGCCTATGTGGTGAATGTGTGGAAATGCTGGCTAAGGGAATGTGAGGCGCGATACGCTACAGATACCACTCCCCTTGCGACGTGTGACGGCCACTCCATGTCACAGCGACCGTTGGCCATCCCTGCACAGCGCATGGGTCAAATGATTGTTCCCACTGTTCGTGTGCATTGGCGCTGGCCTCCCCTTCCCCGCACTGCCCTGTCCATTCGCGGCGCTGCCCTCGTATGCGCGGCGCTGCCCTCGTATGCGCGGCGCTGCCCTCGTATGCGCGGCGCTGCCCTCATATGCGCCGCGCTGCCCTCCTATCTGCGGCGATGTGGGATTTTTGTTTGCTCTGTCATGATATGAGCGTCGCTATGCTTTTCCAACGCGGCGCTGGCCTGTTTTACCCGCCGCGCTTTCAAATGCGTGCAGCACTTCCCGTTTTGAGGCTACTAACGTCCGAGATGATGTTGTATCGCCCTGTTTGCACGGCTTCCATGTTTGTTGTGTCACCGGTTTTGGCTATTTTGCACGCAATGCTTGTCTGGCGCGATATGGGAACTCGAACCGCTGCATACGGTAGCGTTAGCTCATGCCAATGTGATGGACCCTGGTCGCGGACTCCGTGTGTGGCGGTGCTTTGAGCTGATGTACCCCCGACTGGGGGCTGAGTTCCGCATTGCTCGTCGTGTCGCAGCGTACCTGCACGTGGCCCTCGTGGGAACCTTGGTTTTCGTTCCTAGGGCGACCATGGGCTGCCCCGTGTGCATTGCGCCTACGGCGCCTCCCGTCTCGCATTGTTGGCAGGGCGCCTCGGAGACGACGTTTTCAAATGTGTTTATTGCGCGGGGTAGTGGACTAAACGTGTGCGCGTCGGGCTGGTCGTTGGTAGTTTTCGAGCGTGGGTTGCTGTGCTAATCGCGTGGGAGGCGGCGTGATTGCTATCGAGAAGTCGTAGTCGTAGTCTCATGTAAGGCGTTGCTTGTTGTGCTGTTGCATTTGTGAGTGGGAGTGGCGGGGTGTGTTTGCGACTAGTTGGTTTTTAGGGTCAGTCGCTTGGTGTGTTTTGTGTGTCGCAAGGTAGGTTTCTATCCTTCCAACCAAACCCCCTTTTCGTTTTGAGTCACACAGTGGTAACCACTCCCGCCAAGTGCTTTACAGTTGACCCCAAACGCTCTACTTGAGACCCTGGCTTTAAGGTAACATACGAAGTCAACATTTGCCCACGATGTGACCTACGGGGTAACCTACGGATCGGGGGCAGATGTGACCACGAACTGACCACAGTTCGGCCACGCTCGACTCGCGCGGGGCGCTTCGATTGGTCCACGTGTCGGAATGTAACAATGCATGTTACACTTCTTTAAGTGTAATAAACATAAATTTCTCATCTATTATTATGCATAAATATGCTATTCCAATAACAGTATTATTAAAAAACTGAAATATCTGATTTCTAAAAATGTTTAATTAATGTTATAAGCAAGCAATGCATTAACAAGTGTCCATATGTATGTGCATTTACACAATCCTATATAAACGGAATCCTTCATCATATATCATCTGTACACCTAATAGAATCACTCTATTTTAAAACTTGAAAATCCTAGTGTATTCTTAATACAAGCTGCATCCCTGCAAAAGGCAAAACGGTTAGTAAAAAGACAGCATGTGTGAACGACAGAATACCCCACCTGCTGATGAGAGATGTTGTAAAATACTTCTTAAAGCACCTACTTGCAAAAAAAAAAAAAAAAAAAAAAAAAAAAAACCATGGTGCTAACTAAACGAGATCGCTGAGCAAGGCATATGCCTTTCAAGAGATGAGAGAGGTTGCAAACATGATAACACAAACAATGCTAACCCTAATAAATGGAACTGACGACAAGGCGATATCTAAATGTGTAAACCGACTTACTGGTCAACGATGGCGGAAAACACGCAGTGGAGAGCTCCCTCACGTGCCACTTTTCTAGTTGAAGCATTAATAATCTAAACAGTGACATAGAGGAACAAGCAAAAAGCAGGAAACGCAGCAGAAAGTATACGCTGGAAAATCGATAGGAAAGACCGACATACTGCTTGATGGCGGCGCGTACGAGTGGAGGTGCTGCCTCACGAGCCACATTCGGGGTTGACAAATTGTGTACTGACAGACACAGGGAACAATACGCAAAGCACAGAAAGAAAGAACGGTTGAATTCTAGGAAGCTAACGATGGGAACGTGGCGACTATAATAGCAGCAGATGGTATTATTAATGAAATTGGCAGTCGCGCGACGCGGGCATGCGAGGTAAGAGGACGGAGAAGAAACGCGTGTTAGATGCTTACAAATGGATCAAGAAATGAACAGCGAGACTCTTGAATGTGGAGCTGTGCACGAAGGCCTGGTTGGAGCAGACGAGGGGAATGGGGTGGGGTGAAGACGTGGAGAGGCGAGGGGCAGTACAGGTCACAAGGGATGCGACGTGGCGTGAAAATATTCGCCATCCTGTGTCAGCTGGCAGTCGTCCAACGCAAGCAATCTGCCCAAACAAGTTTGTGGGTACAGATGTGGACAGGAATCGAGCTTGAGTTTTAGTTTTCTGACCAGGAAGTACAGCGAGGCCGCAGGAAAATATCAGTCACGAAAGTGCTGTGCTGAACAAGCTGCAGAGGTGGCATGTTGTAGAAGTAACATATTATTATGCCTGTTACCGTCGGCAAATTTTCGTATCGACGCGAAAGTTTTCGCCTGCAAACGGTTGGATAATTCGCGGCATGTCCCAACTCTCGGTGCACTTCGCTACCATGTTGTGACTTTGTGTTGTCTTTGGGGTGACTTCGCGTGAAGTTGGTGTAGGTAACCCCGGGGTAACCTGCGTTGGGGGTGAGTTGGCGCCCCCCCAAATTTTTGAGACGGTGGGTGGGGGGATGGGCGGGGCTGTGCGCGTGGGTGGTGTGGTTCGCGCACTCGCAGGCCGCCAATCCGCGGCAGGAGGCGATGCGAGCGTGGTGTCGCACGCGCGTGCGATACCTCCAGCGGGACATGCGATCGTCCGTCGCCCGCGCGCAGGTAAGGCGATCATCCCACTGCGATGCCCCTCTCGCTGCACGAAGGTAGTAGCGCCCCAACGCACTGATGCGCGCAGGCCACCTGCGCGGGTCCCCCATTCGCGCAGGCCAACCCATCCGCGCAGGTCCCCCATCCGCGCAGGCCGCCCATCCGCGCAGGCTCGCGCATTGGCGCAGGCACGCACATCCGCGCAGTAACTGGTGCCGCATTGGGGGCTGAAAGTTACACGACGGATTACCACCGCCCGGCCTGTGAGTAAATTCCGTTATTTACCCAGTGGTATAGGTTGGTACAAGAAGGGTTACTATTGCCCAGAGCTTAGGATTCGAATCCCAGCTGGTCACATTCTTTGCTTGACCAAGTAATCAAAACGAGAATTTGGTGTGGTAACGTAGCGTGATACCCAGTAAGTAACCTTTTGCTGCTGGCCTGACCCTCCACAGCAAAGTCGTTGCCTTTCCTCCTCTGAAGGTGCGCAGGATTCGTTGAATGTGGACAGGTGGGCAGCAGGTGCACAGGTGGGCAGCAGGTGCACAGGTGGGCAGCAGGTGAACAGGTGGGCAGCAGATGAACAGGTGGGCAGCAGATGAACAGGTGGGCAGCAGATGAACAGGTGGGCAGCAGATGAACAGGTGGGCAGCAGGTGGGCAGCAGGTGGGCAGCAGGTGGGCAGCAGGTGCACAGGTGGGCAGCAGGTGGGCAGCAGGTGGGCAGCAGGTGGGCAGCAGGTGGGCAGCAGGTGGGCAGCAGGTGGGCAGCAGGTGGGCAGCAGGTGGGCAGCAGGTGGGCAGCAGGTGGGCAGCAGGTGGGCAGCAGGTGGGCAGCAGGTGGGCAGCAGGTGGGCAGCAGGTGGGCAGCAGGTGGGCAGCAGGTGGGCAGCAGGTGGGCAGCAGGTGGGCAGCAGGTGTGCCAACTCCCTGATCCAACGGGGGCGTTGGCACTAGGGGGGAAGGTTGTTGTTGTAACGTCTGTGGATTGGATTTACACCAAGGGCGGAAAGGCAACTGCTGGACCTCCAAATAACCGCGGTTTTGGCCCAGTGCTTTAGGCCTTAGGTCAAGCCATTGTAGGGGTAGACCCGGTTTGTTTGTTTTACCCTTCCGTCTCCCGTCTTCCCTCCCACCTTCCTCCCTCCCCTTCCTACACCTTCTCTCCCTTATCTTCCCCTACCGTTCCCCCCCTTCCTCTCCTACCCATCCCCCTGCTTCCCCCCACCCTGTCCAGCCCTGCTACTAACCCTTGCCCCTCCTCTCTCCATCCTTTCCTCCCCTCCCCCCTCTTTCCATCCCTTCTCAACTCCCCTCTTCTCCCCCCATTCCTCCCATATATGGCCTCCTATTCTCCTTCACCGTTCTCCTCCCGCACTCTCCTTCCCTCTCCTGCACGCGCACTCTCCTTCCCTCTCCTACATCTCCTTTTGTCGCCCAACCCCCCGCTTCTCAAGGCACGGGCAATTTCCCTTCCACACCCTTCTCACTCCTGAGTCCTGCCCTTCTATTGTTCCACCCACCAACTCTTTTTTTTGGAGGTTGATTTTGAGAATTCTCAAAATCAGCCTCCAAAAAAATGGCACGGGCCATTTCCCTTCCACACCCTTCTCACTCACTCCTGACCTTCTAGTGTTCCACCAACTCTAAAGGCTCTACCCAGTTCCCTCGTTCCCCCTTCTCTTTTCTCCTCTTGAATTCCATCTCCCCCCTCTTCCCATCTCTTCCTTTCTATCTCTCCTCCTCTCATCTCCCTCCTTTCAATTCCATCTCCCCCCTTCCCATCTCCCCCCTTCCCATCTCCCCTTTTCCCATCTGCCCCTTGACCTTTCACCGCACTCACGCTACAGGAGGCAATGGGCCTGGTGCAGGTGTGGGGCGCACTTTGGGCCGCGCAGTGACTTTTAAGTCGTCTCTTTCCATCCCCCCCCCCCCAACCTTCCACCAGGTTCACACTACAGGAGGCAGTGGGTCTGGTGAAGTGAAGGTGTGGGGCCACTTGCCCTGCTAACCCTTGCCCCTCCTCTCTCCATCGTTTTCCCCCCCTCTTCCCATCTCCCCCCGTACCATTCTGCCCCACACCGGGCTCAATGCTACAGGAGGCAGTTGGCCTGGTGAGGGTGTGGGCGCGCTTTGGGCCGCGCAGTGACTTTTAAGTCGTCTCTTTCCATCCCCCCCTCAACCTTCCACCAGGTTCACACTACAGGAGGCAGTGGGTCTGGTGAAGTGAAGGTGTGGGGCCACTTGCCCTGCTAACCCTTGCCCCTCCTCGCTCCATCGTTAAACCCCCCTCTTCCCATCTCCCCCCTTTCCATTCTGCCCCACACCGGGCTCAATGCTACAGGAGGAGGTCGGCCTGGTGAGGGTGTGGGCGCGCTTTGGGCCGCGCAGTGACTTTTAAGTCGTCTCTTTCCATCCCCCCCTCAACCTTCCACCAGGCTCACACTACAGGAGGCAGTGGGCCTGGCGAAGTGAAGGTGTGGGGCCACTTGCCCTGCTAACCCTTGCCCCTCCTCTCTCCATCGTTTTTTAACCCTCTTCCCATCTCCCCCCTTTCCATTCTGCCCCACACCGGGCTCCATGCTATAGGAGGCAGTCGGCCTGGTGAGGGTGTGGGCGCACTTTGGGCCGCGCAGCAGCAGTAACCTGAGCTACTGGGGGCTGGCGGGTTGCATCAACAACAACTCCATTCAGTCGTACACCTTACGCTCTGATACCATTGTCAGCTACAGCAGTGGCACCGTCATCATGCTCTTGTCCGACAAAGACAGGTCGGATGTCGGCTGTCTTTGTCATCATCTGGCTGCTTCTGCACGCCCGAGGCCCGAAGCATGTGGTGCCTTTTCAAAGGAATGATTAGACCCATTTTCGACTTGAAAAAGGTCCAAGGTAGCCTTATAGGCAGTCGGAACCAGCTAGAACGGAGCCGATTTTGGAAAAGCTGAGCCAAGCTGTAACCGAGTATGGCTGGGATGGCCTTTTGCTTCGTCATTCACATCACGCCTTGTGAGCCCTTATCATGCTATGCTACCCTTCATCCATTTCATTCGCAGGCATCAAACAATATTGACGGCATGCCGCAATGTCTACGAGTACCAGCAACTAGATATCCTCGCCATCGGAGTCAAGACGAGTCTGTCCTCCACTTTGTGTGACTCGAGCCCTCGAGGTCAAACCTTTAATTGGCTCATGAGTAAATCTCGGCGAGACCACTTTGCGCGGCTCATGAGTGAATCTCGGCGAGACCAACCTAGGCATGGGCAACCTGACCCGGTGGGTCGGATCGACTCGGGTTGATCCGGGGTTTTTGCCGGGGTTGGGCCGAGCTTCTCCGTACGCTGACCCGGCCGGGTCGGGACAGGTCGGGTAGGGTCGGGTCCACTGGTAACACGATTCTTGAAATCAGGTTTGTTCGGGTCGGTCGAGTATTGACCCAAATATGACCCGACCCGAAATCGGGTCTTATGAAACAAATCAAGATCTGACCCAATCATGAGGTTCCCAGCCCGATCAGAGCAGATAGATGCATCTCAGGGTGAGTTTTATTCGAAACCAATGTAACCGTCAATGCCCGTTTTGTCAGTAAACCCGAGTAACGGTGGGTGAGGAAGGCACCATATGCTATGGTAGGTGACGCCGTGACGGAGTTAGGTAGGAGAGGGTTTGAGCTGAAAAATGAGCGCAAGCTCTCTGGTCGTGGTTGTTGGGTGCAAATATTAATTTTTGCACGTCAACCAGGCGCCTGCGTTGCAATTTGCATTATGTGTGTGTGCGCATTTTCATTTTCATCTTCATTCTGTGTGTGTTCCGTGCGCATTTGTCCGTGCATTTTGTGTGTTTCATTTTCACTTGTAATTGCATTTTGCGTTTGTGCATTTTTTTTTCAGTTTCGGTTTTCACTGTTCTCATGATGCGTTCAAATGATGCTCACATGGTCCGCTCAAATGAGACTTCCACAAAGTCTCAAATGATGCTCTCATGAAGCTGAAATGAGTTCCCATGAAAGTCGCATGAGAAATTTTTCATGCGAGGCTCATTTGGGTGAGCTTCGAATGTTCAATTCGAGACTCATTGGAGTGCCATAAGCCTCGAATGTTTCACACGAGGCTTATGCGATCGAGCGGTGTACCAGGGGGCTCGATAGTTTGACTATCGCGGGGGTGCCGTTTACACTGTAACTCTTCTGGCGCGAGCAAAGGGTACGAAATCAGGACCGCATGTGGGGTCCTGGCACGTGCGTGAGGCCCCACAGGGCATGCGCGTGTGCCGCGAACTGTTGCGACCGCTCTGTACAGCACGATCGCAACAGAACAGGGCACGTTTTCGGCCCTGTCCTGAACTGTACACGCACATGATCGCAATCATCGCGCTGTACAGCACGACCGAGAAATATCTCGGTCGTGGCGTGTGGCAGGTGGGGGCGCGTGGGATTTCGGTTGAAAAACAGAATCCCGCGCTGACTCACAGAACAAGAAATTGCGCGCGAATGTCTCGCCGCATAAAAGAATGATTTTGTCACGGGTACATTTCGGTTGCTCGCGCCATCAAACGGTTAAAACCGTTTTACAGCTGTAAACTCGCATGAACTTCATGTCAGGCCTATGGGAGCCATATGGGAGCCACATGAAACCGCAAATGTTCATGTGAGGAGTCAGCAATGGAATTGCCTTGTGTTACAATAGAAAAAAAAAAAAGGCAACATCCTAAGAAAGTATGCAACCGTTTTCTATTACAGCGTGGCCAAACTCAAAGACCGTGTTCTACAACGACTTTTATGCCTGCCTTTGTGTGTGCGTAGCATTTGCATATAAAACGTGTGTCTGTAATTGTTCATTTTAAACGATAACAACTATTTTTCATACGCCTTTCAAGTTCATTTTCTACTACTACGTATTGACGAGAGTAGAATCGCTACCGTAGTGCTGCCGAAACTCTGCTCAACCAATTCGCTCGTCCTACAAGCTGAGCAAGGCATAACTACTCACTTGTTTTTTTCTACGCCCTTGGCTAGGAGGTGACAAGCTGTCACGCTCGAAGGGCTGCAAGTGATGTTAAGTGTTGCCAAGTTAAGTTTGTATTTCAAGCTTTAATCGCTTCCGCATAACGTTATAGCTGTTAACACGTGGTATCAGAGCTGGTCATCAGTCCTTTTGAACGCATCCAACGATGGGGTCGCCTGGAGAAGAAGGGACTTCAGCTCCCGCGAGTAGTGGTAGCCAGGAATCTGGAGTATCCGCGCCCAGGGCAGCACGGACGAACCAGGG